GAATGTAACTGTATTTTATACCGAAAATGTATCAATAAACTTAATGGGGGAAAAAATTCCCATGCATAACAGGTCTGCATCCCAATATCGTCATCTTTAATACATATAATTTTCCACTAGAAGTCACAGGGGAGAGTATTTTCATTTGAGTACTATAAAAAGTTTTACAGTATGTTTATGTTACTGAGAATATGAAAATATTCTAACATTTAAATATACATTTATCTATCATACTATGCCATTCCACTGACCAGTTAATTTTCTTCATGAAATATTTTTTTAAAAATAAATGCTTACTGTGAGAAGTGACAATTACAGAAATTAAATGTTTTTACCCTTCCTCATTTCACATTTTATCAATGTCCAGTACAGACTATATTATACTGCTATTTGCAGTTTGGATTGTGCAGCATGGGGAAAACAGAGAAGGGGAAAAGGAAGGGTGTCTAAGTAACTTTTCTCTTGTTGCTGAGACAAAATACCTGATACCCAAAGTTAAAGGGGAAAGGGTTTATTTAACTCATAGTTCAGAGGTTTCAGTCCAGAATCAGCTGGCTCCAAGGCAGGGTGGCAGAGGGGCAACAGTTTGTGCTGGACAGATGGTAGCAGCAACAAGGGACCTTAACAGTATCTTTCTGCCCCTTTTATCTTATTCAGACTACTTAGGGTGGATAGCACTAGTGCCCTTAATCCTAGTGCCCTTGGGCCTACCCCCACCATGAATCAATTACTCTAGATTTAGCCATCTCTGAGAAAGCATGAGGCTTGGGTTGGGGGTCATCAAAACACAAGCCATAACAAAAGGGGCTATATATCAGTGATGAGTGAAAGGTTAAAAATGTCAATAGGTGAAAAAATAAAAGGTCCAAGTCTATTGGAATTATTTGTATAGCTGGGGTGAACAGCTAATGTTGAGGGGATTTGAGATGTATTTGTATAGGCAGGAGGTATGCACGTGGGTACAGGTGTATTTGGAGTTTGAGAGAAGCTATAGGATTGTCGTGAAGACCTGTTACTATACCTGTAGTTAGTTTTGCATGATTCCTCTAAGTCCAATTTTGTTAAAGATTACCCTGAAATGCCCTAGAATTGTACTGTTTTAAGTTACAGCATTGGTTACTTATTATCTAGGGCACATACACAGGTTCTTGTTGTATATATGTTGGATGATAGGTGGAGAGAATGAGAGGGATGACAAGGAGGTGAAAAAATCAAACGAGAAAAAAATGAAGTTAAAAAAATAGGGGTAAAAGGAGCCAAATTTTAAAGACTAAAGTAAAATAAAATAATACTAATAAATAATCAAGAACCAGGGGGAAAAAACATAATCCAGAACAAGGAAGGAAACAAAAAACAAAACCTTCCCACAGTGTTCCCTCTGTACAGAAGTTACACTCTGTGAGAATTAAAGCAGTTTCCTCTTTTTGACCACCCTATTTCCTGCCCAAAGTGGTGAGGTCTGTCCCTTTCTCTGGACTCATTTTCTGGCTGTAAACTGTGCTATGGGTGAGGCCAACTGCATGTGTCTGTCAGAGTGTCAAGATCTGATTGTTTCAATTGATCTGAAAGTTTTTTTTTAAGACCTGAATGTATGGTGTTTGTTTCACATTGTTCTGTTGCTTTTGGCTTCTCTGCATACCTGGCTTGCATGCATCTCACTTTCCATGCTGGGTAGGGAAGGTGGCACGATCATGAGTCTATTCCATCATCCAGTCAGTCACCGAAGAGCCAACTCCCTCTCTCAATCCAATCACCTCCCAAGATGGAATGGAGGGTAAGGTGCCACGACCTAGGTACAGTCCAGTATCCCAACCCCCAGACACTGAACTTTGGTCCACTTTGATTCTTTTTATTTACCTGGCCATATAAGACTATCTTTTGCTCTTGCCTCGGGAAACCTGCTTTTCTCCAGTACTAATTCAGAGACATTCTTCACTCTTCCTGTTATCCTCTTCATGGCCACTTTCTCCTCCTGAACTTGCTTCTTTAGAAATCCATTCTCATTGCCCTAATTTGAGTACTATTTCCTATAAAGCTGTTTGAATATCTAAAATAACTATATGAGGTATCATTCTGAATAGTTACAAATAAAAGTCTTGATTTTTTGGTTAAAGGTTATGCATTTTAATATGATCTTTTGGTTGATTTATGTAAAGCTTTGTATTTTTCATTTTCTCAATCCTGTCATTGTAGTGATGTATGGTATATTTTAGCATCAGGTTTGCCATAAGCAATAAAGAGTCCCAAAGAAATTTTAATTTATTTCCCTATTTTTAACCCAGAGCTTTTCATTATTCTGTTATTTTGTTTGAGACTCTATGTTTAGCTGATATCATTTTAATATTCATATAAATAATTTAAGATTTTAACTTAAAGGAAAAATTTAAGTAGAGAAATCATTTATAGAAAAGGTTTAAGGGTGGACATTGTATATAAAGTCATAATATAGATGATAACATAAAATATACACTAACAATCTCTCTTAATGTTGTATTTTACATTCTAGTTTGCTTATAGCATTTTTCTCTAATAACAAGATAAAATAAAAAAGAAAATGATTCCTAAAATGGTGTGCAACATGGAATAGAAACACGTCTCTAAGATTTGGTATTAAGAAACAAGGAAGCATGAAAATAAAGTTAAATTCAAAAGTTCTTATTGAACTTTAAGCTAATTTTTTGAACGAAGAGCTGATTCAGAGAATATGCTGATGAAAAAGGAGCTGTCCTCAAGAAATTTGCAACCTAGTAGAATGAATAACTCCTTCAACAGCTAGAATATAAAGCTGAATAAAACTTACAGAACAGAAAGAAATAATGTTAGGACAGTTCATTTCGTATGGCTAAATGCATGACAGTATTTGAGTTCAATCTTACATCAGAGGTAGGATGTAAACAGTTAAAGAAAGGGAAGAAGAGAAAGCACAGAATAAGCAAAGGCAAAGGAGGAAAGAAGCCAATGGTTCAGTATTATTAGAGCAAAAGATACATGTAGGGGGGTCCTGAGAGCAAGACTGAAAATAAATGTTATTGTAATAAGTCACATGGCCTTCAATTACTATATAACAATCTTAATTTAGAAAACAATGTAGTAATATTGTGGAATTTTGTGCAGGATACTAACACTAGAAAGGAAAATAATAGGACAGTGGAATTGAGTATGTAAAGGAGGAAAGCATGGAGTTAACAACTAAAGAATTCATACAAGTTATAACTTTTAACTGAAGAAATGTGCACGGGGATGGGTTTGAGAGATGTAACAGAACATGGTACATGAGAGATAGCTACAGAGATGATACCAAATTCTGTGCCTGAGATACTAGTTGGGAAGCAGTTGTGCTAAATAATAAAATATGGAAAAAAATAAACTTGGAGGGGGGAATAAGTTTATTTTTGCACATAATGAGAGAGTTCTAATTGAGGCCATATATAAATTACTAAGTTATAATAATAAAAACAAAAAAAACTAAAAAATTGAACTAAATAAAAGCTCTCAGAGCTAAATAAAATAAATAGTTCTAAGAATGAAATAAGTGGTGAGATATGTTCATAAATATGGAGATTAAATATTATCGAGATGAATGTAAACACGTACTGCAAACATATACTAATAAAACATTTTAAAAAGGGTTGTTTCTTTTGAATGAAAATAATTTAGTAACAATTTTATTAGATACAATTTTAACTGTAAAATATTTTTGAGAATTCGTCTGTTGTATAAGAAAAAATGAGCAATGGAGATCAATTAAATCTTTTTTGTTTCGTTTTGTTTTTTGGTACTAGGGATCGAACTTGGGACCTTGCACTTGCGAGGCAGGTACCAAAACCACTGAGTTAAATCCCTGGCCCAATTAAATCTTAAGTACAAATTCAAAACAAGATCCAAGAAAAAAATACTGTCAATACGTCAGGTCTTCCTATCCTGATCTAGAGATTCAATGCAATTTCAATAAAAATCTGAGTAAGGTATTTTGTTGATAATAACAAAATGACTCCAACATTTATATGAGGAAGCAATAACACAATATTGAAAAATGTGCTAGAAGACAGATACTCTTTGACTTTAAAGCTTATTATAAACTTAAAATAATCAAAACTACATGGTATTTGCAAAACAAAAGACAAACATATCAAGAGAACAAAGCAAAGAGAGCAGAAATACACCATACAAATATACAAAAGAAAAGGGCAATACAGTGGAGACAAAATACTCTTCTTAATAAACAGTACTGGAACAACTATTATCTATACATAAAAAGAAAGGCCCTATACCTCTTGCAAAAATTCAAAATATATTATAATGTAAATGTAAAACACAACCACCATCAACTCCTAGAAAATAATTTAAAATCTAAATAACCTTAGGTTTTCAGATAGAAGACTAAGCAGATTAAAATTAAGAACTGCTCTGTGAAAAACACTAATGAGAAAATGAGAGAAAATATTTGCACAAAGTGTCCTACATGGTGGTCAAGCTTAATTTTGTCAACTTGACTGGCTTGGGAGCTGCCCAGGGGATTGGTAGAGCACACTTCTAGGTGCCTCTGATTGGATAATAGCGTCTTATCTTGATAATATATTTGGTTGCTTGTCCCTTCCTTTCTGGCAGTTGTGCCCTGCTCTGCTTCCTGGTTGTCATGGAACTGAACAGCTTAGTTCTGTCAAACCCTTCTACCCTGATGGTTCTGCCTTGGAATGAATCATAGATTGAATCACTGGAAATTGTTAGCTAAATTAAAGCTCCCCTCCTTTAAGTTGTGGATGTTGGCTACCGTGTCCCAGCAACATGAAAACTGACTGATACATTTAATGAAGAGCTGCTACTCAAAATGTACACAGACATTTAAAGGTCAATAATAATTTTTTTAATGGGCAAAAGATGTAAAGATAAATTTCACTGAAGAAAATATATGGATGGCATATAAACATGAAAACATGCTCAACATAAGAAATCATTAGGGGACTATAAAGTAAAATAATGAGATTAAAAAGTCCAAAACATAGATAAAATCCAATATTCATTAATTGTTGGCAAGAATGCAAAGCAGTACATCTACTATGGAAGACAATTTGACAATTTCTTTAAAAACTAGACATCTCCTTACCATTTTCTTATGATCCAGTATTCATGCTCCTTGGTATTTACACAAATGAACTGGAAATTTACATTCACAGTAAAATTTTGTACATGGATGTTTATAACAACTTTATTCATAAGTGCAAAAAATGGAAGCAACTTAGATATTCTTTGGGAACTTAATGGATAAACTTTGGTATATACAAACAATGGAATATTATTTAGCATCAAAAAGAAATGAGGTAACAGGCTATACATAGTAAGACACAGGGGAACCTAAATGCATATTAACAAGTGAAACAAGCTGATCTGAAAAGGCTATAAATTGTAAAAATTTCAACTATATGCCATTTTGCAAAATTCAATTACGGTGAGAGTAAAAAGATCAATGCAATGGTTAGCAGGGAATACAGGGAAGGGAGGGATAAAAAAGGTGGAACATATGTCATTAGATATTTGTTACAACCCATACAATATAAAATACAAGTGTGAACATAATGCAAACTACAGACTTTTGGTGATAATTCATCAAAGTAGGTTCATCAGCTGTAACAAATATACCACTCTGGCAGGATGTTGACAGTGGAGTAGGCTGTGCTTGTGCAGAGATAGGGAGCATATATATGGGAACTCCACTTTCTGCTCAATTTTGCTGTGAAACAAAATGTATTCTAGAAAAAAGTATTATTTTAAAAAAAGTTTCCTACGGTCAGCATAAGTAATATTTGAAAGTTGTATTTTTCAAATCAGTTATAAAATAACCAGTTATGATCATCATCCTGATTGTTCAATTATGTTGAAATTCTTGGATGAATATATTCAAAACAAAAATGATAAATCACTTTGGTGACAACTAGCAGAATCATTTTATTGACTAAACTAACTGCTTTTTTACCTTCATTTTCAGATGTTTCTGCATCATGACCTATATTTGGCAGGGATGTAAAAATGAAAGAAAAGGAAAAGGCACTAATGTGGCGATAAAATGTTATAGAAATGGGAGTTGGGGATAAAGGAAAAAGAAAAAGGATACATATTTTTCCCTCTATGACAGAGATCACAGCGAGATGTGTTAAAAAAGAGAAAGTGAATCTTGAGGAAGTAGGCAGTATTACTGAACGAAGTCAATGATATTTTCCCAATTAATTAACAGTTCCACTAATTTCTTCTGGAAATAACTATATTTTTCTAAGGCATAAAAATGTGGGAAAAAGCTGTTCAAAACTGACAAACTGGTATGTATTTTTTATAGAAATGATAGTTTAGTCTACAATGTTCTAAAATGCTTTTCAAGAATTGTATATAGAACTACATATTTTGTAGCTGTCAGGCACTGGAGACACCTAAAAGGAAAAAAAACAGGGAGAAAGATGCACCATATTTATTCAATGTCACTGAATATTTTACCTTAAGGATATAACACTGCTATTTGCAATATGGACTAAGAGGACCAATGCAATGTCAAAACAAGGTAGACAGTGATGTATTCAAGTAGACTTGAACATATAATGGGAGGAATGTCTAAATATGAATTCAGTGGTTTTAATTTTCTGTGTGTTACATGGTAGAAAAGTAGAAGGGATCTAGATGTAAGTGGTTTCTTTCAGTGAGTCTGAAAAATGTTTGGATAGTGTAACTTCATTCTCTTGAGGGTTATCAGCTTTTTGGATAAAGGCCCACCAATAGTTATCTTCCAGCTGAATTCACTGAGTGATTTACAATCCTGTTCATTATTATTTTTCTGGGAAACTGGCATCAGTAAAAAATCTCTAATGTGGAAACTCTAATCTTGAGATTTTGAGGGTTCCATTATTTTCCTACTTTTGCCAAATCTTCATTAGTCCTCCTGATATTTCAGATTCCCTATCACATAAATGTAATTGTGAGTGTGCCTCAAGACTGAGGGAAAGAACACCAAACATGGAAGACTTTTCTCATGCTTTTTCTGTCACCACTCACATTTACTCACATTTCCTCACATAATTTCAGCTTTTATTTCTATGATGATAAATATATAATAGTATGTCACGGATCCATTTTTTAAATCAACAGACCTAATCTATCTTTACCTATTCAGTAAGATATCTTTAAATTGACATTTTTGCTGTATTTTGACCATCAATTTATTTAAAATAAAACTCCTTATTGCATTTTTAGCTCTCCTTCTTTCTTTTGTACCTCAGTTTACACCTTGGATATAATTACAAAAGCTTTTATTTCTATTTTTTTCCTCTTAAACTTTGTATAATGAAGATCAAATACTTATGTACAATAATCTAATTCTTGGTATCTTATCACCTAATTATTTTACATTTGGTTTTATATTGTTCTTTCTCTTCTCAGTGTTTGTTATTATTCCCTTTCAACAGATCAACAAACTCTTTAGAAATGTCTTTTGCACCATAAGGAAACTCTCAAAAATACAGTATTTGTAAAATTCTTTGTTACTGACAGAAAAGCTATAAAATCACTAGAAATAAAACCAACTGTCTTTATCCTGTCTTCTACTGTTATACAGTTATACATACATGGCCAAAGAATGTTCCTCAATTTTCTATAAAAATCAAAGTGAATCTTAGATTTACTTGCCTTGTTCTCCAAGTGTAATTCTAAAAAGCGCAGATAAGCCACTGGTGCAAATGCATCAGCTGAATGTATGACTATCTCTGAGGAATCCCTGAAACAGAAACAATTTACACTTTATTTACTATGTAAATTTGGCTGATAGAAGACACCAAAAATCCTCACTTTGTATTCATTTCCATGGGTATAAATTATGTAGCTATAAACATTTTTTTTTTTTGGTACCGGGGATCAAACTCAGGATCTTGCGCTTGCGAGGCAGGGAGCAGAACCACTAAGCTAAATCCCCAGCCCTAAACATGTACTTTTAATAATGCAATATTTAATTGGGTAAAAGGATAAAAATACTACTTTATTAGACTATTAATATAATGAAACTTTTTATCTTTATAAGGCCACATAGTTCAACTTTCAGGTTCTCTCAAAGCTCTCTGAACAATTTTGAGACAAACTTGTTCAATTTCACTTTCACAAATCTGCTTGGCATGGGCTAAACATTAAATGTGAGTCCTTTATCTTCATTATTTTTGTCCTTTTTAAGAGGTATTCATTGAGTGTTTCACACAAAAATCTCAATTATCCTTCACAAAAGCAGTCCTGGTGATGGTTATAAGCTCTAGCTGAACTCTTCACACTGTAGTATCACTGCTATTAAAATTGATTGTCTGACATGGTAATTACCACTTTCAGGTAAAATGGTATGAACTTCTTGCTGGCATCATATGGATAAATGTAAATTAACATAACTTTTTATCAAAGATACCCTGGAAAGCACATATGAATAACTAAGATTATAAGTCCTAATAACCAATTATTTTTATTGTTGTTTATTAAGAGAGCAATAATGCTTTGCATGTCAACTAAAAATTTAAAAATAGAAATTTATTTCTACTTAATGCCTCAGGAAATAAGTTCCATTGTTTATATTAATATTGTTAGCATTTGGAACATTGCAGGTTAGGGAAAACAAATGCTTACTTTGACTCTGCCACTAATGAAAAAACGTTTTTCTTTTTGGTACTGGGGATCGAACTCATGACCTTGTGCTTGCTAGGCAGGCATGGTGCCACTGAGCTACATCCCTGACTCTGAAAAAACATTCTTCTATTAACTTTTGTGGTGCAAAATCACTTAGTGACAATAGAAGAAACCTCAAAATTTGATTCTAAAATACTAAATTTTCATGATCAAAATATGTTTACTTTGTATTTGAAAGACCTAAGATTAAAAGAGCATGTTTGATGATTAAAATAAAAAACAATTTCCATTCATGTAGTATGAAATATGCATCTTGTTAATGATTAGAAAAATAACATTAAAGACGACTGATAAAAGGAAAGCAAAAAAAAAAAAAGAAAAGAAAGCAAAGCAACTTATAAAACAATAGAATCATTAAAGAGCCAGGATCCTGATGAAAAGACATAACTTGTCCTCACATGTGACATCAACCACCAGATGCTTCCAGGTATGCGGAGAAAAAGAAAAATAAAGTCTTTTTGCTTGCTACCACCTGCCCCCTTGGCTTGAACCCTACAAAGTTTGTTTCCTTTAATTTGTTATTTTTCCTTTTCTTCAGAGCTGCTTGCTGTGGTCAAATCTTGGCTGTGCAATAAGATTCAAGCATCACTTCTTGTTTATGATGTCACTGTTAGATTAATTTCAATTTTTCTGTTCCTGACCCCAGCCTTGGAAAACAAACTTGGGCCTAAGTGATACCTAGTGTAAGTAGCTTGGTTTTGATACCCTTAAAAATGGAGTGTATCAAAACTGTAATTAACCTGAAACAATACTATTTCAGGGGAAAGGGTTCCAGATCTTCTCTTCTCATATCAGCTATTCTCACTAAAAAGAGGATGACATAGCTTACATCCAGAATCAAAAGTACTAGAGAGAAAATATACATACATATACATAATATATATATATAATATATATGTATAACACTCTGAAGAAGACTGTGATTTTTCTGGTTCTATTAAATCCTTAACTTCTAACTAACATTATTCACTTAAAAAAAGCAAGAGTCAATTGAGAGACTAGATATGAAAGCAACAGTTTTCAGTTTCAAACAGAATAATGTAACTATTACTCTTTTTTTTTCTAAATTATCACTTAAAACTACTTCCAAGAATATCTAGTCTGTTTGCTTTATAGATTTCTCTGAGTCTTAAAAGCAGGACCTGTCTGATTTAATCTTCAAATTAAATCCGAAAGTTAATTAAATCCAACTGTGCTACACCAAAAATGCTTTGTTGGCTGCCCTCCTTTCATTTTTCCATTAATACATGTACAGCTATGACTTCTCATACAATGAGGGCTCTCTACACCAAAGGCTTACCAATATTTCCTTTCATTGCTGGGTTAGATTCACCTCTACTTACAACTTTCATATGGCAACTGAGTTTGGTCTGAGGCTCTCGTTACACTAGGCTCCTGGGTCTGTGATATCTTCCCCTACCTCTTGCCTCAAAAGAAACATTCTGGTATTATCTTTTGAGATGTGGTATTATCTTCTGAGATTATCTTTGTTCTTACCTCTCCTCTGAAAAAAACAACTGTCCTAGGTTGGGGTTGAGACACTGTTCACTTTTTCTGCTCAAACATATGATCTCTGTATTCACTAAGACAAACACAGATATTCTCTGTGGATTCACACCTACCCCCAAGATATGTCAAATGTTATTTCTATGAAGTTTGCCCTGACATCCATAGACAGTACTAATTTTCTCCTGTGTATGCTTCAGTACATTTATAGCTCTCTAACACATCTACTATACAATTTTGTCTTAGTGTCTATCCCTGTCCCACCCCACCCAACATCTGCCTTACCACAGAATAAAATACCTGGTAGCCATTAGACATTTGTTAAATAAATAAATAAATAAATGTGTAGCCAAACTTTGTTAAATATCCTCACATTTACCTATCAACTATTGAAACAATCAGAAATTCATGGTTTCTTTTGTGTATAATTCATACACAAATGTTTATGTACACATATCCATCAGTACCACCATATAATACACCAAGAATTAAAAAGAAAGGTAATATGTCTAAAAATTAAATACAAGAAAAATAGTTCCTAAGTTCAAACAAATTCCCAAGGAATACAGAAATTGAAGTGAGAAAGCAGGTAAGGTACTTGCTTCATCCTCAAAGTGAAATGCAACTTTCCAGTGCTCTGCACTGAGCCTGTCTTGAATAGGTAGAAAATGAATGGGTAGAAAATGAACACGTAGGAAAAATGGAAAATGAGTGTAGTATTTCGACCATGGGACTTAGTCCTTCTTTGTTACTTCGTTCATTCTTGTTCTTCCATCTATTTATATAAAATAACTTTGTAGCATTAACACTATAATTTCCATTTGACTGTTCAAAGGGAAATAGAGTTGTCACAAATACATTAAAAATAAGTATTTATCAATGCAGAAAAGATGATAACTGTCATTAACAGAGCTTAAGGATTTCAGTTCTTGCTAACACACTACACACACACACCACACACACAAGCAAGAAAGTAAGTTTTTTATTTGAGAACCTACAACTGTCTTTCACTCATTCTCTTCTTTTCTTTATTTTTTTCCCATTAAGTTTATTGGCACATTTTAGGTATAAAATAATTACATCCATCATTGGGATCTTGTACCATTACATGAGTATCTTGGTTGTTATTTTTTTCCCATTCCCCTGCCTTCCCTTCTACCCCTCCATCCTTCCCTTTTTTCAAAGACTTTGTTTCCGTTTTTTTCTTTTTCTCATATTTTTTCTTTTTGCTTTTTTCCTTTCTTCTACCCCGCACTTCCCCTGCTCCATTAGACCATTTCTTCCTGTTACACAATATCAGTTATACATTTTTTAAGTTACAATATCAAGATATAAGAGACATTACCACAGATTTCACAGAATTTAAAAGGATATAGAAAGCATATTACAAAAATCTATTTTGAAATAAATTTGACAACTTCTAAGAAGTACCTTGGAAGAAAAATTAATGAAACTAACTCTGGAGGAAATATAAAATTTGAGTAGCACCTATTAAAGAAAGTATACTCTTAGCTTGAAAACCTACCTCTATGACA